AATGTTTTATTTCTGTCTAGCCGTCTAAAGAGGCTTACAGTCTGACACGATGTGACACGAGGCGTTCAAGCTTGTATCCAAAGGCAATAAAGTTATTACCCTTATTATTATTGCAATTATTATTTTTATAATTGTTATCATCGAATCGATCCGTGTCTATGGTTAGACGGGAGGTTAGACCCTTCGTTGTCGGGCGCAGAAGACGGAAGCTCGATTCGATAGGCGTGGGAATTGTTTGTTCACACCAAGTATCTCTGTCCGGGTGGGCGGTTGGCAGGTGTTCTGGGAGGTTTCCTTCTTCTTTTCTATCAAATACCCATCGTCCTTATCGCGCCTTTTTCTTTTTTTTTTGTATGTTTTTTTTTCCTCTAGAAACACTTCTAATCCTCAGCACTTCCATGTATTTTATTTATGACATGCTTGTGTTGCAAGTGCCGTAAAATCTTTACAAAAATTATTAAACATCCTGAGTTGGCCTTGACAGACAGGTTCCAAGCCTGCGTACTAAATGAGCTTAGTTGTACGGTAAGGGGCATACAAGTTCTACATTTAACTACTATTGTGTTGAACTGAGCATGTCAGCTTAGAGAATGAGGGCGGGCGGGGATCAGGTAAGAGATTGGGTTTAGTTTTCTTCAAGTCATTACCACCTTAGGTATTGCTTTGAGTTGTTTTTTTATCAATACAATTTTGTTATTATCATCATCATCATCATCATCATCATCATCATCATCATCATCACCATCATCATCAGAGCTTCCCCATTAGCTGTGGTGGTCCTCGTTGAGAACGGTACTCCCTTTAGTGAAGGGGGCGGCTAGCCACTTTGAGTACCGCTGCAGATTATATTCTTCATAAACAACCTTGCAGAATCCCTCCCAAACCCTGACTCACAGCAACTAACCCCCGCCAAGCTGATCTACTCCAAGTTCGCTGATGACAGCCAGTCTCGCAAAGAGAGAAAAGGCAAATGAAGCGACACAGTTGATTGTGGGCATGGTTGTGAAATGGAGCAATGAATGGAAACTTGCCTTGAAAGCAACCAAGAGTGAGGTGTGCTCCTTCTCAAAGTAGATGAAGGAGGCAACGTGGTAATCCATAATTCAGATCGGATGGAAAAAAAAATACCACTCATCCCCGCTCCCCGCCTTCTGGGCGTCTATCTGGATAGACAGCTAAACTTCAACAAACACATTGAGGAAGTGTCCAAAAGTGCAACCTCAAAAATGAAGAGGATCGGTGCTGTCAGCAACTCAAAATGGGGCTGGGGTAAGGAGTAACTCAAGAAGTTATATCAGATGTTTGTGAAAAGCAAGATAAATTGTAGCAGCCTTGGCTCAGTGAGACTAGTGCAAAGGCCCTGGACAGAATACAAAACAAAGCCCTCCGTGTTGTATCAGGTCAGTTGAAAACAACACCAACAAAAGCGCTGCATTATGAGACCAGAACTGAGCACTACACCACCTATACAAAAAGAACACGCCTCAAGTCTGTATAGATGGCTAAGAGATGCACGGATCTAGCAGACCAACCCTCCCCCCCCCCACCCACCCACAGCAGAGAATCAATGACCCATGGGGAAATCGAAATCCGGACAGAACTGAGAGGAGTGAAAAGCAATGAAACTCTTTATTGAGTTTAGTGACAAAGCTTGTTTCTATAAATTTTTCTTTTTTTTTTTTAACATACTAAAGGTTTCCAAAACATTTGTTCAATAAGCACAATGTTGCGATTAGAGAAAATGAGATCCTGTAAAGGCACGTGAAGCTGCAGAGGATGGGATCAAAGAGGTTGGTGCGGATGTGACAATTTTCACTGATGGATCGGCTGTCTCAGGATACCGCGAAGGTGGACCACCCACAGAAATTATCAAAACTAAAGGTGCATTCCTTACATCATCTTATGACAAGGAATGCCAGGCAAAGATGTCTGTTGCACAATGGATGGCTGAGAATTGCCACAGTAGAACCAATGTGCTGATCTTGATTGACAGTCAGTCCCTCTACAAGAGACAGCTAGGCAACAGCTCAGACATAAATGATTAGTGCCGCAAGTTCAGTGAAGCCACAGCCACAATAAAGATCCAGTGAAATCCAAGCCATGTTGGAATCGAAGGAAATGAGGCAGCAGACCAAGCTGCTAATGAAGCCAGAGAGATTGAAGAAGACAGACGACCAACAACATACAGATGAGTTTTTCCAATGATCAAGAGGGAAATCAGAGACCCACCCTGCAGAAATAAGTACCAACACTTGGAAGATGTGTATACTGGGTATTCCAATAAGCAGGAACAAAGTATCACACGTCGCTGGGATCAGGTTGAGCCAGCGAGACTGCAGTCGGACCATCATTGGAACTTGAGATGGTATAAGAACTTTGTAAATGAAGATCTCAGCACACGTTGCCGAAGATGCGGCCATGAAATGGAGGATGTCAAACATATGTTTGAATGTCCAGGAACAATGGCAATTCGAATGGAGTTATTTAGAGGAGTGGGGGTGCCTTTAAGTATATTGACAATGGAGCCGAAAAAGAGCCTCGCTCTCGCTCGAAGATTTCTTCGTGAAGTCCACCAAGCCCATTAAGGAAAAAAAAAATCATCATCATCATCATCATCATCATCATCATCATCATCATCATCATCATCATTATCATCATCATCATCATCATCATCATCACCATCATCATCATCATTGTCATTATCATCATCATCATCATCATCCCCAGTGATAAAAACTGTTAATAACGTATAGATGTGTTTTTTTGTTTTTTTTACTAAGTATTTTTAAGCTCCATCGACACAATTTAGATATTAAGAAGGCATGCTGCGCCCCTGCCTGTCAGGGCCAATTCGGGCTTAGGGGTCCCAGCAAAAAGTTCGGAGGTATTCGATAAAAATTCCCCCCTCATGAGAATAGAACTCAGGTCTTCTGCGTGTGGCGGCGAAACGGTTAACCGCTACATCACAGACGCTGGATTTTGCCATACTGCCCGGAAGGTTAGCTTGCACTTCGATTTTATAATCATACAGCAGATATCCTATGTGTCGGTCGACCTATTGGTACCGTAGATTTACAAAGTTCCATCTCTGCTCAGTACGAGAAGTGCGGTCAAAAATTCGAGTCGCAACTTATCTTTTTTAATATCTCTCTAGTGGGCAAATCAATGTTACCCATGTTTTGCACAGTAGTTTGTATCAATTTATCTGAGCTTAATTATATTTTCCTATAACAACTGAAGCCAGATTTTTTTTTTTACTTTTCTTTTTAAATTTATAAATTTTAGTACTATAAATCTCTTTCCCATGGAAAATGGGACGGTTCACAGCACTTCCTGCTTCTCAAACACATTTTTCATACGTATACGGCTTACGTCACAGCTCACCAATGATACTCTTTATTGAGTTTAGTGACAAAGCTTGTTTCTATAAATTTTTAATATTTTTTTAACATACTAAAGGTTTCCAATGTGTTCAAGAAGCACAATTTTGCGATTAGAAAAAATGATGAATTGCATTTGAAAGCAGTATTGTCTAAGATGTAAATCTCTTAAAATATGTAGAAACCAATAACTGGGATTTTCAATAGGTAGTTATTTATGACTTTTCTAGAATACAGCTAGCAGGTGTTTACAAAAATATAGATATTATTATGTTAAAACAAATTGATACAAGTCATTGTGCAGAAGCTGGAGACTTTATGTTCGATAAAGGAGAACTATTTGACTATAAGTTGCGCCACGAATTTTTAACCGGACTATACTTTTGAGAAATTTGACATATAAAAAATTAACTTTCATTACATGCCAAAGCTCTTCGAATGCAATACACTGAAAATCTTGATAACGACTCCGATGATTTTTCTTACGATTTTGCTAGAAAAGATATCATAATCATCCGATGCCTTGCCGACTGGTGTGGGCGATCATGGACCTCCACTTCACTCTGTCTTGCGTTGCAGCAATGGTGTCTGTTGTTCTTGTTGTTGAAAAGATATAACATAATTTTGTTAATGACCTCGTGGTCTAAGTAACGCTAAATGGCTAAACATGTCAGATGCAACTGTGTAATTCTTAGGTAAAGATTAATATGCGGAAGTGAAGTACTTCATAATGTGTGTTTCATGCGTCACGAAACGGTGGAATCAGTCGCCCATACATTATTTAAGGGAATGGAGTATTTGCGTCAATTTAAAGGGTGTTTATTTGTCTTGCTTTCCATTAAAACAAAATATTGATCTATCTTTATAAAAGGTCGAGAAAGTCGCGATTGAAGGAAATGGGGTCCCTTGGTATTATATATAAAATTAGAAAAGAAATAACTGCCATAGTTTTGCGAATTTCAAAGCTTGGGTGCAATTGGAAACTGCAAATGCCCACTATTTTGTGAGATATATCAACGTTTGTCAGTAAAATCCTCAAAGGAAGATGTATCTAAATAGATAAAAATGGTGTTAATGCCAAAATGAATTAGCAAAATTTCCTTTGATGCCTTTATGTTGTCAAGCGCTTGATTTCACGACAACGCCACACATGAGTATAGCAATCTTCAGATTACGTTTTTTTCTTTAGTGCAAAGATCACCGTCGTTGCTGAATGAGCTGTTTACATAGGTTATGTACTTTTTGTTTTGGAAATGAGACTCTGTTTTCACTCTAAGGGCAGTTAACATTAACAATATTCTCTGAACGACGATACCTTACAAAGTAATGCGTTTTTGCTTGACAAGTAAGTTTTCTTTCCTTTAACTCTCTCTCTCTCTCTCTCTCTCTCTTACCCTCATTTGCTCTTACTTGTTCTCCCTCTACCCCTACCCCACCTCCCTTCCTCTCTCTCCACCTACCCTCTCTACCACCCCACCCCAGTCCCGCCCCACCCCCACTATGATTGTCAACAGACGGCCATACAACATCACCATCACTTCAGAACAGACATCCATTTATGTGCCACTTCCTCCACTGGTGCTAATTTCCGCCATGTTTTTTCCTTCTATTTTCCTCCAGAGTGTAAAAGAAAAGCAAGCCCAACAACAATCCCCCACCAGCTTCCAGCATTGTGCTCTGTCTGCCGAGACGAGTAATCAAGACCAACAACTGATAGAGAAAAAAAAAAATAACAGAAACAATACGAGAGTGCTCTGTCCCTTTTGTGGGATTCCATGGCAGAAGGAATGGCAAGGGAAAGTACTCCTGTGTCGTCTGTGTGATTTCCTGGCTGGACATTGGAAATAACGAAAGTAAGTCCTTTTGTTATATCATTATTATTATTGTGTGTATGTGTGTGTGTGTGTGTGTGTGTGTGTGTGTGTGTGTGTGTGTGTGTGTGTGTGTGTGTGTGTGTGTGTGTGTGTGTGTGTGTGAAAAGAAAG